ACTGCCTGTTAAGAAGACATACGTACCCTAATGTTCATAGTCTTGTGTAGGTTGTGGCAGAAGTCATTACCTTTTACTAGGCAACTCTGGAAAATGATTGCAGACTTCTTTTGCCTCTTGTGTTCTAAAGTGTGCCTGCTTCACATAGGCTTCAGCTTGTATAAGAGCAGCTTGAACAGCAAGCTTTGACAAAACATTTGCAGAGCTTTGGGCAAGCTTTGTTGAAGCCTTTAAAGTACCACTGAGCTTTGTAAATGATTTTCACAGATTGTAATGGATCCCACTTTAAACAAGCTGCTTGCAAGCTTCTGCATTTCTTGAAGCTCCTAAAGCCTGCCAGCAGTTTGCATAAAGTTGCAGTTAGCACTCTCATTAGGATCTGTGCTCAGCATTTACAAACTGAAGCTAAGTGGTACTTTAAAAGCTTAAACGAAGCTTGTTGAAAGCTCTGCAAATGCTTTGTCAAAGCATGCTGTTCACTTCTCTTATCCAAGCTCAAGCCTGTATGAAACAGGCCTTATTGATTCTGTAAGCGTTTGCTAGTACATTACATCTTTTTTTACATGATCGTTACTGCTGATTTGAAAAAGGTCCATAATCCTCTGATGGGGTGGGGTATAGATTGTTTGTTTTATGGCACTTTACATTATCTATCTACATGGGACCAGCAGCTGTTCCTTTGTGCCAGTATTTTAAGGGCATGATGGCTGGCAAGACTGTAAAGTTGACCTTTTACGCTTACTACTACTTTTCTATTCTGATAGTGTTTCTATACACCCCCAAGCTGGTCCTGAAAAGCTGTGTCATATGAGTGCTTCTTTTACCCTTTTTATTACTCGGGGTATATTTTTAGAGCTTTACCACTTCTGAAACCGTATCCTTGTTTTTATTTTTCATTTGTGAAAAATGTTAAATGTTGTATATAATCTTTATTTTAGTTTTGGATAGGGTAGGGATGTTGTAAAGGGTAAACCCTTCTTCGAGTTATTTTTTGCCGTCTGTGTATTTTTGGGAAAATGTCCGTTTTACTTCCAGATACACGGCTGGAAGTTAGGGGAAACCTCCCAAAGTGAGGGTAATTTCGCTCTGACAGTGTTACCAGAATAGTTTTTCCCATTGGAAACTTTCCCCTCACCTCTTGTTATGGTGACAAAATTTAAAAATCTGGATTTTCCTCACTTTCTCTTTGTTACCATGATCATCACTACAAATAAGTGAGATATTCTCCCCACCAGGGACACCAACAGCACAACTTGAAAGAAGAGCTAACCCTTCCTCACTCTTCCAACCCAAAAAAAAAAAGTTTTGCTCTAAAGTGAAATTTATGTCTTAACACGAAGTATTCATAAAATATCCCCTCCCCTTCCTGTTACCTATCCCACCTACTCTATGTAAAATAAATCTGTATACTTTTTTTTTTTATTCTGCTTCAATCCGGCCACATGAACCTGCAGCTCCAGCTCCCCTGTTCAGGGAGTGCTTAACAGCTGGGAATTCCAGGAGTAGTTACAGAGACGTTACCCATAGGCTCCTCATAGTTCAGTCATAGTCGGCTTGCCCTCCTACCCCCTGAAGCCGCCAATCCCTGACACAGTTGCTGGAGCTGCAGAATCACATAATAGGACCAGAGAGGGCTTATAAAAGTATACAGACTTTTTTTTTTTTTTTACATAGAGAAGATAGGCTAGGTGGCAGGAAGAGGGAGGGTACATTTGAGGAAAAGTTAGTGTTAGGTAGTAATTCTACTTTAAGTGGTCAAAGAGCAAAGGTTAAGGATTTTATGAACACTTTATGTGCAAATTGCCTACCAGACTTTGACCTTATTGATATTCCTAACCTTAAAGACAGTTATACAAAAACAGATTCACAGCCTCCAAGTATATCTGACTGTCCACTGTATCCAATTTCTACGATTTGTAAGCCCTTTGTTTCTAATCTTAGATTCTTCAACTTTTGATAATTGTTAGACCAATAGCAGTAAAGTAAATACAAAGTAAACTCTTCCTGTCCACTAATACTGCCTGTATGAAGACATTTCCAGAGAAAGCAAATCATTTTTTTTTCTTAAAACAAATAGTCACATTTTGTCTTTACATTCATTAAAGGTTATCTAAACCCAAAAATAGAAAATGTAATAAACTTCAGCTTAACAGTAACTTAGATGTGGTGGCTGCATTTCATTTTTCAGGCTAAAAACATTATCAGGAAGTACAAAACATACCTGTTGATTTTGCCAGAAATGCAGGGTTCTTGTCATTTACTTCTAAACTGAAAAGACTGCATAATGTTAACTGAAATGTTATTAGAGGCCCAGCCTGTGTGACAATGGTTCCTTCCAGAAGAAGTGCCAGGAAGTGTGACATTATTGGCAGCTACCTCATCTGAGAACTGGTAAGCTATATTTGTTTTTGGGTGTAGGTACAGTTTAATATTTAAACAATGAGAGGGCATCGATTTTTCACAAATGTTGTAAATGGGTGGTATGGGTCAGATTATGACCTCATTTTGAAGCATAGAAATCCTTTTTCAGCACTTAATTTGCATTTTAGGGTGAGAGAGGCTGATGTTTCCAGCTTTTGATTAAATTATTTTAGTCCTTTCTAATTCGGTAATATAATTTTTGCATGCTGCAAATGAGCCATTATTAAGTACTTTTCTCAACCTAGAAATGGTCCAGAAGAAAATGTATATTCCCTTGACGCTTCCCTTGGGAATTATAAACCTTGTCCAATTCTTAAGGGCTCCTGCACATGGCCATATACTAATCATACGACTGTACAAAGTAAAATATGTTTGTTGTGGCTCCTGGGAGCCACATCTGTAATGGAAAATGTTATGTTTTGAAAACTATTCAAGTGCGCATGGAAACGCGAGTGTCAGCATTTATATGCGTACAGCTGCATATAGCATTATTTGTAATGCCTGTCTGTGGTCAAAAATACGCTGTAGCTGTAGTTCCTGGGCACCACAGCAACAAGCGTAATTACTCTGTATGGCCCTGGGCAAGAGCTCTAAGAGGCACAGAGGTTTCACTGTATTCAAACAAACAATAACAAATGAGTCTGATACTTTGCTTTTATGGTATTTAAACACAAACATTTGTTTTAAAGCCTAAGTTTAGCTAAAACTAAAAACAGAACAATCGGCACAAGGGACATAAGTTAGCTAGTATGCTGTGTCCCTTGCCCTGATTCTCCTACTTTCAACAGAAGAAGAATCGGAGCAAGGGACATAATTTACAGATAGCATAATGTGCCCCTTACTCTGATTCTTTTCTGTTTTTACTTTTAGCTAGAATTAGACTTTAATGCACAGGTTGGTAGACCAGTCAGTCTGATTTCAATTGTGTTTGTTTCATGCAGTTATAATAAACACAGGTAAATCTATACTACCTAGTAATTAATAACTTGAGTAACCATGCATTTATTTTATTCTGACAAAACGTTATTTGTTTGAATGATCTCTGGTTACATTTTACACAAGTCTTTTGGTTCATAAATTAATTTCTGTTAATTATACTTACAGTTCATATGTTAACTCTAAGTTTTTTGTAAATTAACTGAATGTACAAGAGCAGTATACATTTTGTTTTTGGTTTTTTTTTTTGGGGGGGGGGGGGGGGCTATTTGAAAATGCAAAATCAGTGCATAGTAACCTGAACAAAACCAATCAGTGTTTGGCTTGAATTTTACTTTAGGAAGATTCTAAGTATTCTTAAAAATTTTCCCTCCCTTCTACTGGTCTTTCCCATCCTGTGTAAAAAAAAGAAAATAAATAAATAAAAATCTGTATGCTTACATTTTATATTAAGACCACTCCATTACGGTCACTTCACGTCACCCATAGGCTCCCATAGCCCAGCTGTTGGTGCTCCCTTCTCTACCCTGCAGCAACTGCTCAGGGGGATCCTATGCTGCGGAATCACATGACTAGACTAAAGGGGACTAAAATAAAGTACGTATACAGATCTTTTTTTACACAAGGTAGGTAGAATAGGTGGGGGGGAGGGAACATTTTTAAGAATGAATGTTAGGCTTTAATCCTCCTTTAAGACCCCATTCACATCCGTGCACATGTTTTGTAAAGAGAATTTTAATGCATGGACACTGGTTGCTTCCAGAGGTCCTTGCATATTGAGGTTGTACTCATTATCTTCCTGTAGAGTCTCAACTTGCTTCAATGCATCCAAAAAAAAACCCACAAATGACCCTTGACCCTAACATATATCTCTACACATTTTCGATGGGGAATGAAAGGTTGTGTGTGGTTTTGGTGGGTTTTGTTGGGTTTTTTTTTTTTGTCTGTGGATGTGTGTTGGCATATGAAATCAACAGGCACATTCAAAAATAAAAACATACACCAACTTGTGTTGATGCTTAAAGATAAGCATTACAGTACATGCATAGATATGAATGTCCCCTCAACGTTTGCTGAGCTGAAACCTAATCATTTTGGGTAACAGCATTTTTGCACATTGTTGCTTTTTGCACCATCTTATGCACCTGAACTGAAAATAGTACAGCTTTAAAATGTTTAATGTATATTGAGTGGAAATCCAAATTATTATTGAAAACTTGCTTTACCCATTGACTTTATTTCCTATAGTATAGAGATGCAATCTAATAAACGCTTTTAATAAGTTCCTCTGGTTTTGATTTTTTTTTTCTGTTTACTAATAGCTTTCATTTCTGTGTCAGTGTTTATCTAAGCCTGGAAAATATCACAGAGCTCCAGAACTCAGATAAAAAACTTAAGAGCCAGCAAATTACAGACAGTCGCCATGGTGATAGGTATTTTCCAATCTTATTTTACTGACATATCTATACAAATTAACAAACGCTAAGTAAAGTGTGTGCGTTTTTGTAAATATATTAATAAAGCAGATACAGACAAATCCTGGTTGCCATTGCAACCCTTTTCCTGGTCCCCATCCTCCCCCTTTTTTTTTTTTTTTTTTTTTTTCTTTTAACAATCCCACACAGACAGTACTGATACATGCGAAGAAGACTACTGGGACTCTACTCTGAAGTGATGAGACCAAGATAAATGTTTTTGGAACGGATTGCTTCAAAACTGTATGGTGTTGCAAAGGTGAGGAGTACAAAGAAAAATGCATGATGCCTATAGTGAAACGTGGTGGCAGTGTCTTTCTGTGGGGCTACATGAGTGCTGCTGGTGTTGGGAGCTGCATTTCATTGATAGTATCATGAATTCACAGATGTACTGCTCTATATTGAAAAAGATGATGCTACCATCACTCTGTGCCCTTGGTGGTCGTGCACTTTTCCAACTTGATAATGATCCAAAACCCACATCTATGGCCACTGTTGCATTTCTTAAGAAGAATGGGGTGAAAGTGAGTCAGTGACCAAGTATGTCTCCTGATCTGAACCCAATTGAACACCTATGGGGAATTCTGAAGAGACAAATTGAGCATCACTCTCCATCCAGCATCCAGGCTCTAAAAGAGGTCGTTCTTGAAGAATGGAAAAATATACATGTTGCAATATGTCGCCAACTTGTTCATTCCATGCCTAGAAGACTTGGTCCTCACAAATAATGGAGGTCATACAAAATACTAGATGGAGTAGTTTTTGTTGTGGGGTGTATTTATTTTTGCATCAACTAATTTGAGTAAAACTGAAGATTTTGCAATCTACGCTATATTATTAACCTTACTTTCATGTAATGAGCTAAACAAATGTTCTATAAAACTCTGTTTTATCAAAATTTTAGAAATTAATATTGCATTCAGTGAGACACTAACTAAAATCTTACTTTTCCAAAGAGTTGTACTCATTTATGCTGAACACTGTATGTGTGTGTATACAGTGGATATAAAAAGTTTGCACAACCCCCCCCCCCCCCCCCCTATAAAATGTTAGCTTTCTGTGATGTAAAAAAAATGAGACAAAGCTAAATCATTTTAGAACTTTTTCCACCTTTTAATGTGACCTATAAACTGTACAAATCAGTTGAACAACAAACTGAAATCTTTTAGGTGGAGGGAAGTAAAAATAAAAAAACTAAAATAATATGGTTGCATAAGTGTGCACTAAGTGTAAACGAATACTTTGTTGAAGCACCTTGTGATTTTTATTACAGCACTCAGTCTTTTTGGGTATGAGTTTATCAGTATGGCACATCTTGACTTGGCAATATTTGCCCAACCTTCCTTGCAAAAACACTGCAAATCTGTCAGATTGCGAGGGTATCTCCTTTGCACAGCCCTCTTCAGATCACCCCACAGATTTTCGATCGGATTCAGGTCTGGGTTCTGGCTGGGCCATTCCAAAACTTTAATCTTCTAGTGAAGCCATTTGGATGTATGCTTTGGGTCATTGTCATGCTGAAAGATGAAGTTCCTCTTCATGTTCAGTTTTCTAGCAGGAGCCTGAAGGTTTTGTGGGAATATTGACTGGTATTTGGAATTGTTCATAATTCCCTCTACCTTGACTAAGGCCCCAGTTCCAGCTGAAGAAAAACAGCCCCAAAGCATGATGCCACCACCATGGTTCACTGTGGGTATGGTGTTCTTTTGGTGATGTGCAGTGTTTTTGCACCAAACATATCTTTTGGAATTATGGCCAAAAAATGCAACCTTGGTTTCATCAGACCATAACACAGTTTCCCACGTGCTTTTGGGAGACTTCAGATGTTTTTTTTGTTTTTTTTAAATTTAGCCGGGCGTGGATGTTTTTTTCTTCGTAAAAAAAAAAAAGGCTTCTGTCTTGCCACTCTACCCCATAGCCCAGACATATGAAGACTATGGGAGATTGTTGTCACGTACACCACACTGTCAGTACTTGCCAGATATTCATGCAGCTCCTTTAATGTTGCTGTAGGCCTCTTGGCAGCCTCCCAGACCAGTTTTCTTCTCGTCTTTACATCAATTTTGAAGGGACGTTAAGTTCTTGGTAATGTCACTGTTGCGCAATATTTTCTCCATTTGATGTCTCCACTGTGTTCCATGGAATATCTAATGCCTTGGAAATTCTCTTGTACCCTTCTCCTGACTGATACCTTTTAACAATGAGATCCCTCTGATGCATTCTACAGCAAAAGCCATGGTCCGCAGGGAGCTTCCAAAGCAACTAAGAAAATGTCAGAAAAGACCTACTAGAACAGCTGAACTTTATTTGGGGTTAATCAGAGGCACTTCTAACTATGGCAGGTGTGTACCAACTGCTATTTAACATGATTTTGAATGCAATTGCTTAATTCTGAACACAGCTACATCCCCAGTTATTAGAGGGTGTGCACACTTGTGCAACCATATTTTATTTTTTTTTTTTTTTTTACTTCCCCACCCTAAAAGATTTAAGTTTGTTTTTACAATTGAGTTGTACAGTTTATAGGTCACATTAAAAGGTGGATAAAGTTCTTAAATGATTATCTTTATCAAATTTTTTTACATCACAGAAACCTGACGTTTTAACGGGTGTGTAGACTTTTTATATCCACTGTCTGTTTGTATATATATATGTGTATGTATGTGTATATATATATATATTTGTATTCTCATTTAACATCAGAACTAGAATGTCACATAATGTTTATACAAAACAATATAGAGAGAGTCTTACCTAAAGTGGGACTTAAGTCCACCAATTGGGTGACTCCACCCCCCCCCCATAGCACTGCCATTATGGCACATGTGCAGAGCGCCAATAGGCTCTGCCTGACTTTTAGGCCCTAGCAGAGTGCATTGGCACATCTGCACTTGTGCACGTGATTTTCCAAATGTGCAAAGACGGAAGGTTTGGGACTTCCCTGATGGCTGGCTTTGCACATTTGTGAGAAACCCCACAAGGTGTTGTAACAAACTAGCTCATCAGAGCTGGAAGCGGAGTTCTTCTTTGTCTTGTCCTGTCTGTTATTTGAGGTATTCCTCACACCCCCCCCCCCCCCCCCCCCTTTCCAGTCCTGAGAGGCAAATGTTATCTCCTGACAGATGGTGTGAGTCAACCAGGTGAAGCATTCGTGGTGGTGCCAGCAGTCTGGGAAAACTGTCACCTTTCTCACCTACGTCTAATAAGGCAGCATTTCTCAGAGGGCTGGGAAGCATTGACCCAAAAAGGCGTAAGCCCACACATTATCAAACTGACCAGAGTAATTGCACATTCCTCAGTTCAACCGTATGTTTCATGTCATGTATTATGAAGCTGTAGTTAATACAGAGTTTCCCACTGACCACACCCAAAACGTGTAGTCAGAGCCCCCCCCCCTTTGAGAGGGACTTTTAAGAAGAGACAAGTGAGTTAGAGCTTGACACACACACAGAGATCTCCCAGCAACATCGTAACAAAAGGAGATCAAGAAATCACCCTGCTCTACAACTTGGATCTGCAAACCCAGGCATATGGACAAGTAACTTAACCCTGTAATCTTCTTCCTAATTATCTTTGCTGTGTCTTTATATACATATATATATATTTTTGTGATATCTCTTTGTAAATATTGTATTGCACCTGTTTTGACTCTTTTAGTAATAAATCTTTCTTTTTGAAAGTGTTAAACTGTTTCTAAGCGCTTACTTGCAATTCACGAATCCCTGACTTCGAAGAGATGCTACTGTTTGGTATATCTCTGTATAACAGGTCCACGGGCCGTGCTATATAGATCAGTATTTCAATCATAGTGTATATTTGATAACGGGAGTTTCCCAGTCTCTGACAAAAGTGGTGGTGGCAGTAGAGGGTTAGTTGCGTAATTAACCCGACCCAGTAACAAGCGCATTTAGGCTGCAGGCACTGATTGTAGTCCATTAGCTGGGCAATCGCTGTGCTGGGTACAGCTGAGTGTGGCCTTGTTACGCGCATTCACCGCGGATTTAGATCGGCCGGTCCTTCGGTCACGAGTTTGGTGAGAAGGTCTGGGGTCTGACGCCGTGGGCATGACGTATTACTATATATGGGGAAAAGGACGAGCGCTGGATCTGACTGGTTCTTCCAGCTGGCCCTCTGATGATGTGCATGCGTTTGTGACTTCTTCCAGTGTTGGACGCCAGGATTGGCAGGAGCTGAGCGCAGATGGCCATATGTGTCAACCTTTTGAATAAAAAATTACTACACTATCAAGATTTCTCTCTTTTGGGCCTTATTGCTGAGTCCCTAAGGTGATCTCCTGATACGAAAGCACACCACCCTTGGCGAAAGACGATATAAGGCAAATTCGTGTAACTGTAAGGAGACGTACTCCCCCTGGTGGTAGGAGACGGCATGATTGATGCAAAGGTGTTCCTGAGGTCCCTTCGCTGATGATCTTTGGGCTGTGACCGGGAGTAGGTCATTATACTCCAATGCGCTTCTTCCTGCGCTATCTGGTTAGTGCGTTTTGCAGCTATTCTCCTATCACGGAAGTCACGAATTTGATTGATACACGGATGTACTTCTAATGACTCTAACATCCCTATCACTATATGCACTTTGTTTTGGTCGGATGAATCATTAATACTTACCCGTCCATTGTTTGCATTAATTTGTGCGTTTAAGTTGGTGCATGTTATACCTTTAATGTATTTCTTTTAATCCGGATGTGCATACGCTAATTTCTTCTTACTACATGCTCAAGCGCTGCATTTTTGGTGTTTTTATTTGTCTATGAGGAGGTTATACGAGGTTTACCTTCATGCTAGCAGCTTGAATCTTTCAGACCAAGCGCTCGTCTTTTATCCCATTTTACTATATGCTGGATCTGACAGATTCAAGCCGCTAGCATAAAGGTAAACCTCGTAAACCCTTTTCATCAAAAGTCAAATACAGCAAAAAGTTGCAGCGCTTGAGTATATAATAAAGGGAATTACCATATATATAGCAGAATTAAAAGAAAAAACATTCATTTTATGACATGCACCAGATCCAACGTTCATAAATTAATGTAAACAATAGTCAGGTAAGTAATAAAGATTCATCCAACTAATCAAAGTGCCTATAGTGATAGGGATGTTGTCATACGTTTTGGGGGTGTATCCAAGTGACAAGCAAATCCGTGACTTCCGTGACAGGAGAATAGCTGTAAAATGCACTAACCAGATAGCGCAAGTAAACGCGCATTGGAGTATAATGACCTACTCCTGCTCACAGCCAAATGGTCCTCAGCGTAAAGCCCTCAGGAACACCAGTGCACCACTCTTGCCGTCTCTTACCACCAGGGGGAGTGCGCCTCTTTACAGTAACACGAAATAGCCTTATATCCTCTATCGCCAGGATTGGTGTGCTTTGATATCAGGAGATCATCTCAGGGACTCGGCAATAAGACCCAAAAGAAAGAAATCTTGATAGTGTAGTATTTTTATTCAAAGGGTAATAGCAAGTAGCACACTTACATGGTAATATCC